GTGTTGGATAGTTTACTAGTCCAGTATGGAGTGGTGGAGAGCTGCGAGCAAGGTACCTACCTGTCTTCTGAATTGCTTTCAAATTTATAAAAGGAAGGAAGCAGAAAGAAAACTAATCAATTCTCTCTCTCTCTCTTCTCCTAGTGAACACGGACTCCGAAACTGCAGTTGTAAATGTAACCTACTCCAGTAAGGACCAAGCTAGACAGTAAGCAGTCTGAAACTTCTTGTCTGTCTGTAATAACTAGGTTGAGAGCAGTCACTTATATTTTGTGGTCTTTTAAATTGAAGAAGGGCTGGTGGGTCACAAAAGGAAACTTTATTTTGTATGTTTGACTCTGCCATTATGCCTTTTAAATCTGTATGTCTGATGGGAATCTGCGTGGATTTAAGGTTTGCTCCATGTTTATCTTTAATGCCATTTGCAGAGTGATGTATGGAACTAAACTACACCCTATTTTCAAAAAGCCTTGGGCCTGAGTATTTCTTTCCAAACTGTGTCATTTGCTTCCTTAACTCTGCTTTGGTGCTGTAGTGCTCCTTTTTTCTGCAGCTGGTAAGTTGACTATGTAAAACAACAGTTCAATCTTGGCGTTTTTCTCCCTGAAGTCAGTCATGGTTGCCCATCTCACTGAGTGAGCAGACCTTGAGCCAAGGCACCTTGTGACTAACAGCTTTTCAAATCAGCCCATGATAATTTTGTAGGTACTGGGAGAGAAAATAAGGGACCCGCAGAAACTGCCCAGAACCTGAGTGCAGTGATAGCACAGAGTCCACAGCAGCCAGCGCTGGGACTAGAAAGTCTCGTCTACCTCCAGAGAGAAGGGAAGGATGGACTGGTCTTTTTTTGTGGGAGCCTTGGAAGGACCATTTTGGCTATCCCTAAGTCCTAAAGGGAAAATGGAAAATGATCTTTAACAGTAAAAATTCAGGTTGAAGTTGAGTGATAACCTCTGCATGGAGGGGAGGAGTCCCGTCCAGATCTTGAAGCGTACCTACATTGGGTGTGTCTGTCTTCCTGTGCTAGGAGACTTCTGGAAGCCCGTGGGGGCCCTGTTGCTGGCACAGTCTAGCCAGTTGGTCCTCAGCCAGAGAAAGGTTTTTTTAAAGACCCCTGCCAAGTGGGCGGCTTGATGGCTCGGAGAAAGTTTCCCAGGACTGATTATACCCTGAAACTTAGCCAGCAAATTGCCTCTAGTCTGAAGGGGATGAACTTTGTACCAGACTAAGGCATTGTTTAGCCAGGGGGAAGCTGATCAGAGCCAGAGTCTGCAGGGTCACAGAATGTCTACCAGCTGTCGAGAAGGACTTGAGTTTGCTAATGAAAGACTTGCACCTGCAGCATAGTCATCCAGGTGGGCCACTGGGACTTTGGAGATGACTGCCCAGGGTGAGGGCTAGCATTTGTCTCTGAGCCTTACCCAGGATGACAGGACCTGTGACCTGACTTGGCAAGGGTCCGCCAGGTGCAAGAACGCATTCGCAGCCCACCCCTCCCTGAAGGTCTTGCCCAGAGCTGTGATTTGACTGATGAAGTACTACCCATGATGATAACAGCATCCGTGACCTGAGCTTGCAAAGATCTGCCCAGAAGTGTGAGAGGCATCTGGGAGCTAGGAGGAGAGCAGAGACACTGGACCGGCAAAGAAGACTGCGCTGAGACGCGCCACCATGCTCTCCCCGTGACGCTTTTGCTCCTTTGTTACTACTCCTGTTGTTTTAGCTGGCTGGCTCTGCCCTGCTCTGTTACCGTCTTTGCTCTTTCCTCTTCAATCCTCCTTATCTCCTCCTTTTTCTCTATTCTTTTCTTTTTCATTTTCCTTTTTTTTTTTTTTTTTTTTTTTTTTTTTTTTTTTTGGTTTTTCGAGACAGGGTTTCTCTGTGGTTTTTTGGAGCCTGTCCTGGAACTAGCTCTGTAAACCAGGCTGGTCTCGAACTACATTTTCCTTTTGACAGCCGTTTCCAAAGAAGGCAGGCAGTGTGGTTTCTAGGGGCTCTGTGTCTCAGTGTCCTGAGAGCTGAGGCTTTTCCAGGTTTTCTGATTGACTCTATTTCTTTATGTTGCTCTTTTCTCTTTTCATTATAACTTTAGCTAAAACTGTCCTCTCCCCAAGTCTTCCTTTCTATTTCCTTTTCCTGCTGCCCCCATCAGATAGAAAGAAATAATTAAGATGGCTCACACCTGTAGGATTTGCTGAAGGTTGGAGAGGCAGGAAGATCACGAGGTCGAGGCCAGCCTGGTCTATACATTTTAAAAACAACAACAATAAAAAGGCCTAGCAGTGGTGGCGCACGCCTTTAATCCCAGCACTCAGGAGGCAGAGGCAGGCAGATCTCTGTGGGTTCGAAGCCATCCTGGTCTACAGAGCTAGTTCCAGGACAGCTAGGGCTGTTACACAGAGAAACCCTGTCCCCCCCCCAAAAAAAAATTAAAAAAAAAAAAGGAAGAAAGAAAAGACAGCATCACAACAGATACCATTGAAATTTAGAAAATCATTAGAATTAACCTTAAAAACAAACAAACAAAAAACATGTATTCCAGTGAATTAGAAAATCTAAAGGAAATAGATAATGTCTAGGTGCTTATTACCTGACAAAATTAAACTAAGACAGCATAAAATTTTTAAGTAGATCTGTAATAATCAGTGAGAGTGACACACTAATAAGAAAGTCCTGCGGCTAAAAATGTTCAGGCCCGGATGGATCCACTGCTAAATTCTACAGCTATTTGAGGACACCAATCCTCCTCAAAGCAGTCCATAAATTAGAAAATGTAGGGAACTGCCAAACTCTTATCAAGCTGGCACTAACCGTATACCCAAACTAGATGAAGAGACAGCAGAAGAGAAAGTCGTAGGCAGCTCCTCCTGGTGGACGTAGACGTAGACTCTCTCAGTAAGGTACGTGGAGAACGAATGAAGTGGTGCACCAGAAGTCATGCACCATGAGCACTTGGCTTAATTCCAGATGTTTCGATGCTTCAGCATGTTCAGGTCAGTAATTCTATACATAAATAGCCTCAAAGACAGAAGTCATTAAAGAATTTTCATACATGCAGAGAAGGCTTTTTCGCGGGAGTCTAGCCTTAGCTGGGGTTCAGGTCCTGAGAGGGTGGGGGTATCGTGCAAGGAAGACTGACCACAGGTGAATTGCACTCAGGTGGCTCTGAAAAGTTCGAGCCATTTTTTATTTATACTTTAACAGAGTTTTTGTTTTGTTTAACAAGGCTTACATGAACATTTTTTGTTACTGACTTCTATTTTTGAGTTTTAAGAAATACATTATTTTTAAATCATTATAAAAGCTACCATTGTTCCCCTTTATTTCCCCAAATACACTTTTCCACCCCCTACATAACCTTATTCTAGATGTAGAGTTCAGCACTTTTGCAGAATCAACTACGTATCAAGCCAGACACAGTCTGCTCTCACAGTACTTATGTCATCTGGCGCTTACCCGTGGTTACAAAGTTAAAAAGTAATCGACTTGGGTACATTGCTTTAAGGACAATATTTAAACCGGACAATTCTTTCATGTCTTTTATACAGTTCCCTTTCCAACAAGAGGGTCCCATGTCTCTGTCCCTCAGGCAGGCTGTGATAAGGCACTCTTCCATTCCACCATACCATTCTTTCCTCACCAAGAGAAGCTCCTGTGTGCGGTGAAGATGGATCCGGACACCCCACATTTTGCATGCATGTTTCCTCTTGCAGCATATCACATTCTACCATTGATTCTGTATGTTTATGTCCAGGAACTTACTCTCAATGCTGGCACTGGGTGTATTCCTGAGGCCTTTTCCCTGTTCTGTGTACGCATGTCCTACTCTCCTCTCCAGATTTGTGAGACGTGGTTAATGTTTCAAGTGTTGTTTTTCTCATGTACCTAACAGTCTCTGTTGAGTCAGAAACTTTTCCAGAATTAGGTGTTGTAGTTAGTAATTCCAGATAAGAAATTTGAGAAATATTAGCCCCCTGCTGATTCTAAGGGGGAAAATATTCAAGAGAGGACAGAATTTCAAGGGAAAATTGCTGCTGTTGCATGTGTGATTGACAAGGTGAGACTAAAAACTACCAAAGGAATCTACAATATAATGAAAAAGAGAAGAGCCTGGGGGCTGCATGGATTGAGTAAAGTCATGCACTGCCTCTGGTCCGTGGATCCACTGGACAGGCCTTCATATGCTGATCCAAGACTAGCTGCACAGCTCCTGATACTCTGGCTGTCCTGGAACTCGCTTTGTAGACCTGGCTGGCTCCGTTCTTACAGACCAGCCTGCCACTGCCTCCCAAATGCTGGTTTAAAGGCGTGTGCCTGGCTCAGAGAAGGCTTTTAACAAATACCCAACATCTCCTCTTGAGAAAAACCCTAAAGACAGTAGGACTAGAAGGAATGTATCTCAGCCCAATAAAGGATAGTATTGACAAACCTGTAGCCACTCTCATCCTAAATGGAGGAATCCTCAAAGCATTTACACTAAAACTATGAACAAGAGCCTTTGGCTTCTCCACTTTTATCCAATATAGTGCTTGAAGGCTTTACTAGAGTACTCAAACAAGAAATAGAAGAGTTAGAAATGACAAAGGAAGCCCAGCTGTCCTTACTTGTAGGTGTTGTTATTCCAAACTTAAAGACTCCCCCAGAAAACTCTTAAAGCTGATACCCACTTTGAGCAAAGTGTCACGATACAAATTGACATTAAAAAATCAGTAGCCTGGGGCTGGAGAGATGGCTCAGAGGTTAAGAGCATTGCCTGCTCTTCCAAAGGTCCTGAGTTCAATTCCCGGCAACCACATGGTGGCTCACAACCATCTGGAATGAGGTCTGGTGCCCTCTTCTGGCCTACAGACATACACACAGACAGAATATTGTATACATAATAAATAAATAAATAAATATTAAAAAAAATCAGTAGCCTTCTGATGTACAGTTGACAGACTTAGTGATGAAGACGGAATAATCCCATCCACAAGCCAATAAATAAATGAATGAATGAATGAATGAATGAATAAATAAACCTTTGAATAAGCCTAACCAAGGAAGCAAAAACCAAAGTCTTCTACAATGTACAATTTAAAATATTCAAAAAAATTGAAGACACTAGAAGATGGAACTCTCCATATGTTCGTGGACTTGGTAAATTAGTATTGTGAAAGTGGTTATGCTATGAAAGAAATCTACAAACGTAATATAGTCCATGTCATAATA